ACGACAAATCGCACGAAACATCTAGGACTAATCTAGAGGATCCCATCCCGTGGGAAAAGGGAGATAGGCGACGATATTCGGGAAAAAAGTCACTTAGTCTCCATCGCGGCCTGTCCGCGCGAATGCCTCGATCGTTCACCCGCGATCCCTCGACAATCACTCACTCGGAAATAGAGTTCACCGAGTTCACTGGACTGCCCATCCAACGCGTTCACAGATCGTCCACCTCAAACCGTCGCAACCATCCAAAGTATTCACTGGTGGTCCACGTCGACGTTCCAAACCGTTATTTTGTTCAGAAACTCACAGTGAACACAGTATACAGTTGAACCTACCCATCCGAACTGTTCAATGGTGGTCCACATCGACGTTACAAGTCGTCATTCCGTTTAGGGGGTTCACGCTCCCATAACCGACGATATAACCGACCATTCACCGACGATACACTCGAACATCCCAACTACTCTTTCCGGTCCAAACACTCAAACTACCAGTGTATCACAGTGCACAGTCACGCATACCCATCCATCGCGTTCACTAATGGTCCACCCGAATATCCCAACTCGTGATTCCATTCAGAGACTCACACTGCTAACAATACACAGTCCTGCCTGCCCATGAACCATGTGATGTGACGCGATGATCTAACCGTGCACTCCAATTTGCACCAACGCGACTCGATGACTCATGACAGTCTTAGTAGTTTCCCGCGTCTCGTCGTGCTCGAGGGCATCGTTTCCTGGGGCTGCACCGTCGGCGGCCCGATCCTGGATCGCGCCGCTCATCTCATGCACGCGCGAGCCTCGCGAAGAAATCGAGACGGAAGGCCCTCCCCCGCGAGGTGGCCACGGGGTTAACGGCACTCGAGGTGTTAACCCCGACTCAACTCGTTATTGCGATCAGCTGGACCCACGATATATCCCCAATTATGCTGCGAGTGCCCCAAACACCAGAAAATATATTTTGTTTCTCGCCTAGCAGGGACGACGTTCGCTGTAACCCACTTTCCAGAGACGTTTGTTATCATTAGATCCGTGAATCGTAGGTTTCTCATGCGTGCGGATCTGGATCATCGAGTGGCTGAGAATTTCTGGGGTCAATTTTCACAGCTGATACGAGGAAAACAGCCATCACCTTGGTCCGTTTAAACGTCAGATTTAGGGGTGGCGGCCTAACCTACTCGCGGGTCTAGCTGTTCACAGTAGTCTCTCTTTCAGGTCGATCGTGATCTCCCGCGGAGGAATCGCGACGGTAAGTTCTCCGCCGCGAGGTGGTCACGCAAAGGGGGTTAACGGCACTCGAGGTGTTAACCCCCCGACACCTCAGGTTTCACGTTACCGACGATCAGCTGGACGATTGTCCCTCGGGTAGGCTGTAAAGGTTTTAAACACGGTCACGGGAATCGAATCTTGCTTCTCGACCAGCAGGGACGACACTCACGGTAACCCACTTTCCAGTCACTTCGTTTATTCCCTGTTAGACACGATTCTTAGATCCTCGATGGGGTTCGTGTCGTTTTCTCGATGCGTGTAGACCCCGTGGGTTAGTGGGTGAGTATCTCTGGGTCAATTTCCAACGGTGCCGCTCACGACCAGCTGACAGCTTCGGGGTTGCGACGAGGAAAACAGCCCTCGCCTTGCTCCATTTAAACGAGGGTTTTAGGGGACCATTTTTAACTAGTCACCGTTTCCAGGCACTGTCCACTGTGGTATTTTAAATCGGCCGTGAACGCAACGCGCATTGCGAACGATACTCCGCGAGGCCAGGGGCGAAAATAACGAACGTGCTGAGAGAACGGTGCACGCATCGAGTAACCTCGCGCAGCCAAAATGGTGGACGACACTCCCGTGTTCCGCCTCGACTCGATCGTCCCAACACCACCGTTCCACCTTTCCACGGGGCTTGTAAACGATGTTCGCAACGCGACACCGCGACACACGACTTTTCCCACGGTTCCGCGACGAAATTACACCGTCCGTACGAATGGACGGTTCGATAGAGTCGAAGGGAGCGCGCTGGAACCGCCTTCTAGTGCACAACACAACACACCACCTTCCGTACGTGTAAAGTGGACCACCCGCCTGGCGCATCCGTTTCTAACATCCGTTTCCGGGGTCGCGCGTCCGTTCAAGGGTGATCGTTAACGGTCGAGGGATCGGTAAGCAGGCAACGAAAACGTTCACGAGCCGGTCACCTGATCGTGGCGTGGAAAAAAGATCCAACGAAAGACGACAACGTCGACAGGCACCTCGCCGTGGGCATTCCAGCGCAGGCAGGGTGAATCGAGACGAACGCCACGCCATCTGGCGACTATATCGTTGACCCGACCACTGGCATGGCCGCGCGACCAACCCTCGCGTCAATAACAATCGAATCGAGCACAAAACGTGCCGCGTTACACCGTTCGCCGACGCGTACAAATACGCCAATGTCATCCTCCGACACCGTCCTCGGTCATGCCTGAAAATTAAGACGGGTCACGGGTTTCGAGACGTTGCTTTTCGTTAGTTTAACACGCACCTCCGTGTTCGCGACTCTTTTCGTATTTCGATCAACCGCGCACCGGAGCTTCTGGGGCGGCTGCGCGATTCGAACTGAGCGCAGCTTCGCATGGGAACCGTGGACCCGACGACGGAAACGCTCGAATCAACCCGAACCTCGTTACGGTCACACCGAGAATGGTGGCATCTGACGATCCTCGGGGGAAGCGCGACGCGACGGTCTTCGCGAATTTAAGGGGAGAATGGTATGTTATGGTCAGACAGCGCGCTACTGTTCTATAACGTAGTCTCCATGTAACGTGACACGAACTATTCTGTTTTGTACTAGTTCTGTGTTTTTTAAATTATGAGTACATAACATCGAATAGTGTACTACTTATGAACAAACTTATTATTAGACTACGGTTGTTTTTCCAAATTCATATCTTTATAGATACGAAAACAGAATTTAAGCTTAAACAAAGTTTGTACTATCTTCTAAACGGTGTAACATGTATATTACTGATGATACTTTACATACTTTTGCATTTATGGACACTTTCATAGATTTCTAAAATTCTGTTTATTATGTATCATTGTAATTGACTGAATTTTGGTTGCTGCTTTTAATTTTCGTTTTATTGATCATTCACGCCGTGGTGTCGACAGCATCGTAATAATGAAAATTCTTATCTCGGATTACATCTTCTTCTTCTTCTTCTTCTTCTCCTTTGTCAGAGATTTGTTCCTCCACTTCAAGTACCTGAAATATTATGTTTTAACGACCCTTATTTCGCCTAAATGTCTGAAACTGTGCCCTTGTACATGTTTACATGATATTTTGATATAACAAAATTACTGATAATACGTACTGGTTCTCGAATCAAAGAACGGTAATGACGTAGCTCTTGATCTGCTTCAAATTGCCACTGCTTGTTCTCCTGGGATTTTCGATAATGAATCAACCAAAATCCAAGATAATTGACTGGATCATGAGGTTTCTTTGCCACAATTTCTTTGATTGCCATTTCTAGTGGCAATTTCAAATGTTTCTTTAACCATTGACCATCAAATGATAATGATATATCATCTATTAGGCAATTTAAACACCCTACTTCTTCCGCATCATCCACTGACGTTTTTTCTTGATTACCATCTTTCAGAACGTAATTATGAAATTGTATGAAACTGAAATTTTGCAACTAACAACGTCAAATGCACTGTAGAAGTTAATAAAAGAAACAATTCGGTAAATAATTTATATAACAGTAAGACGAACTTACAACAATTTTTGATTAATGTTCTCTCAACTTGTTTATATCCATCACTATCGCCGTAACTTGCAGGGACTTCATTCACCTTGACATCTATTTCATTACATTCTCCTAATTTCATAGTTGCGGGCACGAAAGCTGCCTGACACCGAGGTGGTGACAGTTGTGACGTTAATAACTCTTTCAAACTCTCCTGGCTGATGGCAATATTTTATAGTGCAGTGTTATAAATATTACAAGTCTCCTTAATATAGGTTAAATATTAAACGCATCTAGAATATAGTATACGTAACGGGAATAATTGGTGTTTGAAATTGTATTCGTTTTTAATAAAAATTGTAAACCTGAGTTTGATTCTTTTACCTTCTTCCTCCACGAAGTCTCATCCCCTTCACAAAAACACTTAAAAGATCGGGAATTTCCACGCTATTAGGCGGTGCTTGTTGCTTCTTCATTTTAAGCAATTTTTACGTTAAAATAGTTTAATTCTATTAATTAATTAACTGTTGACACAATTTGCAAAGGGGAGAGGTAAAACAAATTCAAAACGCGATGTTTGTTTAATCGATTTAAAAAGAATCTTGGATTCACAAATATATAGGGTGGACCACTTGATTTGATTATAAACATATTTCAAATAATTACTTGTTTAATGTTTTTATAAATAAAGGAATGAACTCAAAAATTGTACCCAAAGAAGATTCCAGGTTGCTATTACTCGAAATTTTCTAGAGAACATCTCATCTCATAAGGCTTCGCATATTCTATCCTCAGCAAAATACCACAAAAGATCAAAGACACACGTGCTAGATTTAATCACACTAAAACGATCAAACTAAACATTATTTCCAGTGTAAAATTTTCCAGTTACAATTTTGCAGTGATTTTTAATTGTGTTTCCTATTCACGGTAATTCCATTGTCAATCTTCCGTATAGCTCCAATAAATATCTCAGTGAAACGGTGACTCCTGATATTGTTATTAGCTATTTCTGACGCGATAACGAGGCAGAACTGTCAATCATGACTAGCCGATGTTTACGTAGCTCGAGATGTTTTCCAAAAATTTGTACCGTTTCTCGCCTAACGAGCCGAGATAAGAAAAATATTCTTACGAGAAACCCGCGATAACAGCTTTTTTCACGCCACTCCCAAGCACACGCGGCATAGCCAAATAATCAAACTCCTACGCGCAGAGAGCATAAATACATCAGAAATCTTATCGGAATGCAAATTTTCCGATCTCAACCAGTATCTTCCTGGTATAAGTTTCGCGAACCTCATAAGTCGGTTAGGGAAACAGCGACCGAACGGCTACGAGGTGCAACGCATCCTTGACCATCCCTTCGCATCCTATAGGAATCCAGGATGTCCAGCGAGGATCCGAAAAAGGATGAAGCTAAGAACGTCACGATATGGCCACAATGGCTGGCTGCGTACACGCGTAAGTATAACTTTAAATTGCTACTAGAGGTTACTATAGTGTTGAAAAGAAACTCCTCACGAAAATCCATTCACTTTAGTTACGAAAACTATATTTGTCACATTGGATGAGACGTATTTATTATATCAGACATTTTTTCTGAATAATTTGTCACGCTTTTAAGATCAGTGCCCTGTCAAATTCTTTTTGTTTCCTTCAAAAATAGGACAATATTCCATCTTTTATTTACATTTCTCTAACAAGTTCTTTTCCAACATTTTGCCTATAATGGAACAATATTTTCCTATTTCACTTTTTAAATATTTATAGAGAATTATCATTTGATATAACATTCTATTAAATGTCATCACAAGTATACTTGTACCTGCACATTTTACAACGCAAATTTTACACCCTGAAACCAAGCGGAAGTAATTTTCATACCTGGTCTTATTTATCTTTAAAAATATTACTTCTCATACGCAAATGTGTAGCAATCGTGCCGAGCAGACAAAATAAAGTTGATTTCGGTTTACCGTTGAATACGAAAATGCAATCTGTAGTCCAAGACGCTCGTATATTACGATGGTGGTAGAGCTATGTCTATGAATGAGCTAATGAAATTACTTTCGCGTCCGTTAACACAACTGTTTCATGGCCGTTTGTGACAGTCAGCTTAGCCGTTATGGGAAGTGGTCTCGCGAATGGCTGGGCATCGCCGTATTTGGCTCAACTGACATCGACGGAAGCGAACATGCCTTTGAGGCTGACAGATACCGAAGTGTCCTGGGTGGCCTCCCTTTTAAATCTTGGCCGGCTAGCCGGCGCTTTGCTCAGTGCACTGTGTCAAGGTAAGGTCGTTTCTTCACTATCAGAAAGAAAATTCGTCTGGTCAACTCCATTAACCCACCCTTTTCCGGACACGTCGCGGTGAATCGCGTGAACTTGAAAAACTTTACAGACGTGTCCGTTGAAACATAAATGCAGTGTTTTAATTAACGATAGAATAAAAAGACAGTGGCAAAAACGTTTCGATATGTGCCAAGGAAAATCCGTAATTACCATTTTAGGTTTCAGCCCCGTATACCACTCGGAAAGTGTTCCTTATCGTGGATATTATTTATGTGAACCACCGTTTGACATTACTTTTTTAATTTCTGTCTATTGCATTATAATATTCTTCGTATTGCAAAAGATAATTGCTTCCAATCAAAATTACAGACGGCTAATAATTCAAATTCATTCAAAGATTAAATAGTCTTAAAAATCGAAAGCTTGACCTAGATGCACGCACTGCGTTAAAAAACAAATAGAACAACCACCACTTACGTAGATACGATTAACAGTGACAACAGTGTAATAGAAAATCATACTAAAAATAAATACCGTCTACGAAGTAAATAACTTTCCCTTTAAATATATCAGACGTACACACATCTCTGGTTGATTCGATCGATCCTCTCTTGCAGCACGCAATCAGACGACCAAGCAAGGCAAACAATGGCGAAGAACATTGTTAATCGAGAATTGAGTAAGAACAAGGCAGCCACGACTCAGCACTCGTAGAAAAGCGTGATATGAAATTGTGGTATGTAGAAAAGTAATATTAACAGCGATCCAAATCGGTTCCATATAACTATTTTTCTTCGAATTAATTCCGTCTTGAGAAAGGAATCGAGAAAGGAAATTAGAGAAAAATAAATATAACATAATGATCCAATGAACGATCATTAGTTCTGAGTTGTGGTGATCTTGTTCTCAGGAAAATCAGACTTTAACATGTCACACCGTCGTCTTCAGAATACATTGGAAGAAAAAAAGTAATTCTACTCGGTGGTCTACCGCTAGCCTCAAGCTGGGTATTCACTATTTGTGCCACATCGGTCACGTGGCTCTACGTGGCCAGGTTCTGCTCAGGAATCGGGTCAGGAATTATATGGTCTGCACTCTCGATGTATCTGAGCGAGATCGCCGATCCCAGAATTCGTGGATCACTGGTAAATTCTTAATAACTTAACTATGTAGGATAAGAAACGGATTAGAGTTGTCTAAGACCAAAAATCAGATAAAATCTGACCGAACCAATCAATTTTTTCTTTCATCATTTGTATTGACACGTTGTATAATATGTTATACACCAAAACGCACTAATTCAAAATGAGCAATAAAATACAATAATCGTATACATTATTCACATATCTCATTCATATATTACGAAACAAAAATGTATTATCGTAGTAAGTATAATATATTACCACGATGTGACAAGCAACTTTAGCATGAATCATTCTCATGCATTAGTGTCACTCATCCCTGCATGACGTGGCAGTCAACGTGTTATGAGTCATTAATTAGAACCTGTTGTTTCATATTCGAAAATTAATACGTAGCATATACAGGGTGAACTAGTTGCCTAATATCGTATCAATCAGATTACACGTTCGATAAAGTCATACCTGTGATCACGTCTTCAGATATCCATGAACGTGAACGCAACTGCCGTTGGTATGTTCCTGGGCAATGCAATGGGTCCTTATCTGTCCATGGAGATGTTCGGGTACGTGAGCCTCGTTCCGAATATCCTCTTCATGATCCTCTTCAGCTTGATACCCGAATCACCCTACCATTACCTCCTGTACGGCGATATCGACAAGGCTGAGGCATCCTTGAGGTGGTTTAGGCGAAAAGCTGACGTCAAAGCCGAGTTGCGAGAGCTCCAGGAATTCGTCGACGGGGCTGGAACTAACATTTTCCGAAACTTCAAGCAGTTCCTCCAACCAAGTATGATTATTTAACTTAAGCTAATCTCTGGACATTTTATTTCTAAATAAGTTTCGCGAGAACTCATTGGCGTGTCATTCTTTAAATAAAAAATATATATCCCTACGACTTCAAGTGGAAGGAGTCTCAAATTTATTTTTATTTTTTAAGGATATATTTTTCTCTTTTTCTGCGGAATAATTCATCATTATTAATGAACTTCATTTTACTGACAATAATGTGCGCTCACATTATCTTTTGACATTTTTTGACCAGCATCAAATACAAGTGTTCGAGGTGGTCAAGGTTAGATGATATACTCAGCACGATATGTCATTAGGATGTGAATAATCCAGAACAAAAGATAAGTTCAGAACAAAAGAAGAGTCGTAAAGCTTGTCCAACAGGCAAGAAATACTTTATGACTCTTCTTTTGTTCTGGACGTTCCCTTTGTTCGGGGCCACCCACATCTTAATGAGATAATATCTATCAACAACAGCCATTCAACTTTTCTTTCCTTTCCGAATTGTATTTCGTTATGTATATCACGCTATACCCAACTCAAATTAATGATCAGATATCAAACTACCTTTCGTCACTATAATTTCGACACAAAGTAAACTAATGTGAAATTTGATTAAATTTTCGTGATCCTCGTTTCAGGTAACCTGAAGAAGGCTCTCGTGGTGCTTGGTCTCTACGCTTTCTCCTATGCAAGCGGATACAATATCATGACCTCCTACTCGGAAATAATCGTGACGAAAAGCAAGGTCAGCATAACGCCTAGTATAGTGGTGACGATTCTCGGATTCGCGACGATCGTAGCTGGGTTAACGGCCACACTGCTGATCGATCGACTCTGTAGGAAGACACTTCTGATCATCTCCAGCCTCGGGACATCGATATCCTTGGCGATCCTGGGTCTGCATTTTCATTTTCTTTCCGTGGGATACGATAGCAGCAACCTAACGTGGTTACCCATAATCGCGATGTTGTCGTTCAATCTCTCCGTGGCTGGTGGACTCCAACCGATTCCGAGCACCCTGTTGGGTGAAATGTTTCCAGCGAGCTTGAAAAATGTTGCCTCTCTGTGCGTGAGCTCCAGTAACGCGTTGATGTCCTTCACTAGCTCAAGGTCTTATCAGCCGTACTTGGACTTGGTTGGTGACAAGTTCGTGTTCTGGACTTATGGTGTTTGTATGCTCTTTTGCGCGCCGTATGTCTACTTTCTGATACCTGAGACCACGGGTAAGAGTCTTTTGGAAATTCAGCGATCAACGAAAAAATAACGATACAATTATTGCTCTGCCCGTTTCCTTCGTGAAAGGAAAATAATTTATACAAGTTGTATATAGACACTATGAATGTGGAAGTCGAGTGAATTCGCTACATGAATTTACCATCAAAAGTATACTTCATTCGCCATGTTCGTCGAATTCATTATTCTTTGTATAGGTTGTAATTTTGATTTAATGTTGTCAATGGTGGTACATTTTGAAATTTGTTAAATTCTGGATCGAGACTGTTGAACGGTCGAAACGTTATTGTAATTGTATTTTTAAGTATTTCAATATTTATATACACTTGACTCTATTGTTTTATTTATTTCTCTATTTGAATTAAACAAGTTATCGTTCTGTGATTACGCAAATGCTGATTCTTATGGAGTATCGATGTATTCGTGTCACTTATTTTAACCAGATGTACATTTATATCAAATTAATGTCGTTGGTTGTACGTTTTATACACTGGCACGTCGTAAATCTGCGAAAAGATTAACACGTTTGTTTTGACAAATAAAAGAGCAACGTACAGTGGTCCAGAGATTTATTCATATAAATTAAAAAAAGTGTCCTTTTTAATTATTAATTATTATGTGTAAGTTGGATTGCTTATACGTATAATAAAAAACAAAACAATTCGTTGAATCTTAAAGAATCCTCAATTTCGTTACATTTCGATATTCTGATTTTAGATTTCTTTCGGAATATTCACAGGACATTTACCAACAACGTCATGGAGTTTTGGACTTTGCAAAAACTTTACGAATCACCATCATTGTCAAAACTTCTAAAATGCAAAATTATGCCAGTTAAACACTAAACAATGTGCGTTCCCTTGGAGCGTCACGAGAAGACTGGTTTCACATTCTTAGGTATAAAGTAGGCGTGAAAAAGTACAAATCTTTATTTCACGACTATCTGCTACATTTCCAGGGGGTCTTAGATAAGTATTAGGTTGTGCCCATGTAATATGTAGCACGCGGAAAAATGAAATAGCAACTTATGCTTTCGTGTCGTCTCCCTTATGTAGTCACGTCTGGTAAACCCATGTTGTTGATAAAGTTTCATCGTCGTTGCACAAGATGATTCTTATCTGTCATCTGCTGAAGGCATTGTCTATTCGTCAAACCGCGAATTAGAAGCAGACTATGAGAAGCAGGATATATAAAATGGATAGCGACGGTGGTATTAATATTGCAAAACGTTTCTATCGACAGAAGGGCGCAGATAAAGGTATCATTTACAAAATGTTTCAAAAACAGAAAATTATCCATTAGGTCTCGATTAATCTACATCCACTGGGAGGTCCCCGTTAAAAGTCCCCGAGTGGGCTGAGTTTTCGACTTTTATTGAGGACTTCCTAAATATACTATCTTATATGTCTCAAATTGAATAATCTTAGTATATACATTTTGGAAACTTCACTGTAATGCTTCCAAATTAATGTGAAAATATTATTTTCGTACAGCGTGGTGATTGAAGTCAACAATTTATTGACTCCCATCATATTCGTTCAACTCCTTACGAGATTAAATACGACATACATTTTAGTTGATCGATGCGTGTACCATTGTTATCGGTGACTGCGAAACCACTCAAACAAATCTATGAACAAATAGTTAACATATTCCACAGTAAACTAAATCAACTTGCCTGAAATTGAAACACATTCGTTAAAAATTGAAACTCTTTTCCAGGTATACCAAACAGCTGCCTCATATTTTACTCTGTTACGACAAATGCAACAAACGTGAACTTCAAAGAAATGATAAACATAATCTCTGTGATTCCACTCGCCTTAGAAACAATATGTATTTATCGAAATAGTTGAAAATATATCTTCGATGACGTAACATTTGCGTGTGTAATAAGTCAAAAATATCTGTGATCTGTGCGTAATTGAAGAAGTATAGTTCAACTTCTTTTCATAACTAAATTTCTCCTGTATTGCAAGTACAACAGATGTTGCCTTTTAAATCAAGTCTAAAGATTCTTATCGATTACGGAATACCCAAAAACCGTATGTATTAACCAATTTGTTGTAGCTGAGCCGTATTCATGTATAAACATGACAAATTTGTCTCGTTATTTTGTAAAATATGAAAATTCGAGCCATCTCCTTTCAATGAGAGCAATATTTAAAGCGTGCAATTAAATTGGAACAATGTTTTCCAAACTAGGAACGGTGAACTCCTATGGGTTAGCGAGTACGCTGATTTCTTTCATATTTATTTATGTGTATTATTTAATTAAATATTACTAAAAAATAGTGTGTAATTCAATTCAACTTTAGCGTACCGCCAAAAGTTTTTCTTCATTCAGAGAATATCCGATAAGTTTGAGAAACACTGCTGTAGAGAAATATGAATAAAGATCATCTGATTTTAATCAAATAATGTTAATTAATTATTCAAATAAGCTTCAGTTTCTTTCAATTTGCGAAATATAATTTGATTGAATGATGTTTATCTTTTATTCATTATATACGATTTGAATGCATATCAAATGTTTACCGCCAAATCTTTCCTCTTTCGCGCCTGCGTAGTGGCAGCGCTGATTTTTCCCTCACATACCGCACGAGAAACTGCTCTGTAGTTGAAATTTGAATTTGGCAGTCTTCGTGCCCGCGTAACGCGATGTGGAATTATTATTAAGTGTATTGCAATTTATATCGTTTTTTGTAGAGAATATTGTTCGACAAACGTTTAACAGTGTTGTGAAGTTTCGTTTTGTGTGGTGTGTTTCATCGATGAAGAGAACGCGGTTTAATACAAAGGCAAAGTCGGGCAATGAAGGAATACCAGTAAAGGATACCAGTAAAGATGAAACAGGAATGGAATCGAAGGTTCGTTATAACCACGAAATTTCGTAAAAAATATATCAAATAGGTTACGTTATTTCTATGTACGTTTCTTTTCCATTGCATATTCGAATACAAAATGCAATTGCTTCACTATTAATATCTGAACATTCAATCATCAGCATATTAACGCTAATATACTTTATTTCATGATAAATAAAGTATATATGTTTTTATCAGGACAATAAATATCATTTAGAGGTACAAGCTAAGAATTTACTTAACGAAAAATTAAATAATTCGTTAGCAATGTTACAAACTCAAAGTGAAGTTATTGATACTGCAAAGTCTTCTAGTACGTCATCTTCAGAAGATGTTAAGGCTTCTGACAAAAGTGGAGAAAGTAAACTTAATTTAAAAAGCTTGAAAGACAGTAAGTTAGTTTAATGGTAGAATATTAAATATCAAATATGATATTTAGTTTCTATATAATTTACTGATGTAGGGAATAAAAGAGTTAATGAGGAATTAAAACCAAATACACGTCCTGCAAAAAATAAACCTAGGGCTGTAGTAGATCTTGAAATGATGAAGGAAGAATTAAAACAGTTAGAAGATCCACCTTTAAGTACATGGGAAAAAGAGATATGTTCTAATAGGCTGCCATTCTCATTTTTTGATTCCCCTTGCGAGGACTTAGCTCAAAATTTATTAGGTAAATTGGTTAACTACACTTTCTTATTTTACCTTCTATATATGTATTTGGATCAATATAGACAAATTGTTTGTCTATTTAGGGAAAGTACTAGTTCGTTACCTTGAGAATGGAACTATTTTAAAGGGCAGAATTGTTGAAACAGAAGGCTATTTAGGTGTGGTTGACAAAGCATCGCACACATATCAGAATAAAATTACTCCTCGTAATATACCAATGTATATGCCACCAGGGACTATCTATGTATATATGACCTATGGCATGTATCATTGTTTCAATATATCTAGTCAAGGTGAGTGTAAGTTAATAAGAATAGTAGAATGAGTTTAGCCCCAAATGCCACAAACTAAAATAGTTAACATGTTCACTGCCCAAAATCCATGTGTGGATCATAGCAGTTTAAACTCAAATAATTATAGTATAGTATAGTATTATAGTATAAAATTAAATTAGAGTCAGGAGCATATGTGCAAATCAAGGCAGTGGAACCAATACTTGGTGTTGATTATATGGAATTGCTAAGAAATATGCGATTAGAAGAAAACAAAAAAGAAAAAAAAATCATGGAAAATGTTCAACGTATTAAACAATATGAACTTTGTAACACTCCATCCAAGATTTGTACAGCTTTTGTTATTGATGAAGATAGTTTCCATACAAAAAAAATTTACGACTGCAATGATTTATGGGTAGAATATGATCCTTACATAAAATCAACAACTATTGTAGCAGCACATCTTAATAATGATTTGAAACATAATGAGCAAAAAGTGTGGAGATATTATGTATTAGGAAGTTCTAGTGTTACTCAGAGAAATATTGAATCCGAAGAACATGCTTATGATATCTAACAATTTGTATCATCCGTATCTCACATTCTTCCATATAGTAATCTCCTGGTGAGATTTTAGGTAAGGGGTGTGCTGTTTTAATAAGAGCTGTCGAACCCTTAGAAGGTATTGAATCCATGGCCAGTCAACGAACTTCAAAGGGAGCTAGTGTACCTAAAAAACCTATGAAAAATTTGAAAACACATGAATTGTGTAATGGTCCATCAAAGTTATGTATGGCTTTTCAACTCCATAAAAAGCATAGTAAATACTCCATGTGTTCTTGGAAAGGTTTGTGGATTGAAAATAGCAACACAGATGAGAAGATTAAAATTGTAAAGTGCCCTAGAATAGGCATAGACGGCTACGGAGTAGAGTGGTCAAATAAACCATTACGATATTATATTTATGGTAACAAAGCCGTGAGTAAACGAAATAAGAAAGTTGAATCATCATTGGGATTAAATTAAATTAATATATTGCATGTGTTTATATTGCTATTTACGTGCGTATAAAAGATTGTAATGTCTATTTTATATTATATTAAAGTTCCTTAAATTTTTTTTATTCTTGCATTTATAAATTATAATATATACAAAATAAACAGTTTTCATATTCAAAATGGCATAATACAAATATTTCTTTTATTAAGAGCAATAATTTGTATAAATAAGCATACTACACAAAGTAGATGAATATTTATTGAAATAATTTACAAGCGAATAACTTATTATTTATGTCCATTCCTTCATTACTCTCTCGTAATCTTCTTCTTCGATAAATGGTTTATTTATAGATCTGCAATATAATTTTTATTTTTTTAGTATAACAGATCTCAGAATAGTTATTTATATGAAAAATTTAAACTACGAAACAAGGGAACCACATGAGGTTTAATGAGTTGTCTCTTCAAATTACTCACTCTATCATAAGTTCTCCACAATATAAACATTCAGAGGCTACCAATTCGTCGATGTCGGCCTTGATTTGATCTTTTGTAGATAAAGATACAGATCCAACTGATGTAGTATCTTCCGGTCTGTTCGAAAGAGCGGTAAGTTGTCGCTGCAGATCAGCTAGCTTTGTTCTCTGATCCATTGCCAACATAGGTGTTAGTGCAGCTACAAGACAATCGCTATGAAATCTATGTCCACAAGGAAATACATAAAAAGGTCGTACTACTAATTGAAAATCACAGATCTTGCATGTGTCCTTTGCATGTATAAATGTACACCTGAAAGGAAAAAATAGTTACATCGCGGCATTGGATAATCTATTATTGTTTTTTTTTTTATCCACCTTGTTCTAAACTCTTGTATATCCTTCCTAATAAGCTCAGCAGCTTTTGTTGCTTCTTGCATTTCTTCTTTGAGATCTTGAATATGTTGATTATATTCCTGTTAATTGCAATTGAAATATATAGTAGTAATTCCATAAATATTCAACAAATTAATGGCATGTTACACATAAAATTATTTCACCTGTAACGAATTGCAAATAGCATCTTTAAAGTGATCTATAGTAACAAAGTCTGAAAAAAATGGTAGTATATCTTCTATCCTGACTATATCGCAATCTTGTAAAAATTTCATTGCTTGCTGTATATCATTTTTCTCTCGAACCACGTGTTCAGCTAAAAGTTGAATTAATAAGAATTAGACACCTCAAAGTTTCGAATTTATACTTGTATCAGTTACCTATTTTTAACCATAACTTTTTCCGTAATTCGTCATCGTGATCAGAAGGCATAGCAGCTATTTGTTTAGCAAGGTCAACACTGCTTGTCAAAGCTAAATCAACTGCTGTTGTCCAGAGTCCAAGTAAAGCAGACAATTGCACACATGCTTTGGTTAAACCAACTTCTTGGCATAATCGTAGCGCATAGTGCACATCATAATGTACCATATTTATATCTTGGCCTGAAATGACATCAAACATTTCAATAAAATATATTTTTTTTATATTTCATTCCAAAAAGTTTACTATGAAAATCACCTTGAGAACTAATATAACGCATTACTTCGTCTTGTTTATAACGAGCGTATAAAGACAATAGGAAATTATGAATTGCCTGTTCCTGACAGCTTTGTTTATATACACAAAACTCTAGATATCTGATTACTTCCTTTGCCTATAATACCGAACGGTATTTTTACTTACTATAAACTGTACGAAAATGAAAATGTAAACTATAGATATCTTACATGTTTTTCATCACTATTACAAGACACTAAAGCTGGAAGAAGTTTAGATGGCTTTAATAATGAACCTTGTGATATCAAAGCAGTCACTGTAGGGCGTGGTAATTCTTGTAAAAGAATACCAGAGAATTGATAAAAGAGATCTCTGTTACTTTGACTTTTTAAAACTTCAAAGGCTTCTAAATAATTGTTTTTGTATAAATGCTGACGTATCACTTCTTCATAATTGCAATGCATTATAGTTAAACGTATAAGATTATCTTTATCGCCGTGACTTGCTATTAAATCGTATATAGTACTACGATTCCTTTTGATGCATTCCTAAAATGAAAATAATTTTTTATATATTCAAGAAACTACAAATTTTATAAAGCAATGTAGTATTTTTTAAATCATACCTCAACTTGTGGAATAGCAAGGAAACTATCAAATTGTTTTTGTAATTCTAAGTATCGGGAATCGTGTAAATACGATGTATTATTACTCCGTAATACACCCATTTGATTCATAAATAATTCGATCACCCATACAACAATCATGGTTATTTGTGTTTTATCTTGTGTTTTCAATCCTTCAAGTTTCTATGAATAAAAAGTTGTGTTGGTTGTTTCAATTAAATTTCAAATAATATCACAGAAGAATGTAATACCTTCTTAAGGAATGTTTTTAAAGCCTCTATTTGCCATTCCTGTAGAAACTTCAAAGAAATTTCTTCAAATGATGAATGAGTATCAGCATAAGTGAGAGCACTCCTTTCATATCTGAAAAATAATGTGTACATAAGTCTATGATCATGTCTTAAATAGTAATACAGAAAGTTCGACATACTCTTTATTTTTAAAAAACATTTCTGCTTGCTTTACAAGTACTTGATCTATGTGTGCTGGATTATCTTTACAATATTGTTTGGCAAGCTCAAATTCACCTTTATCAATGTAAATCTGCATAAGAATAACAACGCACGTAATTATTATTATAATTAAGAAATATTTCAGTACACATATTAATTTACCTGCCAAACATTTCTGTCTTCTCTATTAATTTTGTATTTGAATACTGCGCGCTCGCTATATGCCCACACAGAACGAGTCACATAATCTGTAGTAATGTTCAGTAAGTTTCCAACAGCCTATGAAAATTAAAATTGTTCTAATAATATAATTAAGATTCAAGATGACATTCATGTTATATTTTGTATTCGTTATACACACGTCATTGTAAATATCTTCAAATATCAATTCTTGATTTAAAAGGGATATGCCTTTTACATGATCCGCGTAAAGTAACAATGCATGAAATTCTGTTAAAACAAAAGACAATGGAGCAGTTGTTTCTTTTGAGATGTAGTTTCCCATGAGACTTACTTCAGGAGATCTTAACATTTGTCGATTTATTAACATATTTTTCGGGTCTACCTTTGAATTGACCTAAACAAAGTTAAATTCTTTTGCGTTATATTTTCGTGTATATTAAATTTGAATAATTTTTACCTGGGCATACAGGATACCAGTTTCTGTTAACCAACCAAATGACTTTGGTAATGCACCAAGTGCAGGATAATAAAATTGCATTTTAGAGTAAGGCAAAGAACTTATTACGTCGGTAAAGCTTTCTGTAGAAATGTTACTTCTATAATTATTGTAGATACTGTTATCAATGCAAATGTATGTAACCAAAATTTACCTTCCACATTCAAATACTTATTGAAAACTTGTTGCAATAGAGGTTTTTCTTCTAGATTTTGTACTGATCCAATATATTGATAAATGCGAATAAGAGTAGTGACAATAATTATATACGTATCAGTATTTGGTATTTTATGGAATTCTAAACCAGTAATTGGTGGATTGCTGTTTTTTCCTATATCGAATACCTATAAAGTATATATAATAATGATGAAAAAATTGTCACTTTGTAATATTTAATATTATTTATATTGCAATTGATTATGATTTTATGGTGTGAAAGCAACTATTGATAAACTAATATCATGAAAATGGACCATTAGAATTTATAACAAAAAAATACTATAGGTGTTTTGCACATGCAGAAATTTTGATTTCAAACTCACCAATCCTTCTACCTCTTTAGCACCATAAAGAGGTAAGTAGTTAGGAAGCTTCGGAAATAATTAATAATGGTATAAGGGAAGAACCTCTATTATTATGGACTGAGAATGTATACTAATAATGATACACTTAAAAATTAATTTTACAATTTTGTTTATACCTGACGCCAATATTGCTCCAAACTTGTATTGAATATTTTATCACCATCTAAACCAATTTCTGTTTCGAAAATAAGACCTTTTGAAGTTCCCAAGAGAATTGGCCCTGTGGTAGTTTCAGAGGAATTTGCATAGTTCCACCCAACAGCAGTAATTTCATGTCCTTTGAATTTACCTGCCTAAATGAAAACATCTTGAAAAATGTAATGTAATTCATTAAAGTAATACATCCATATAAAGTATCTCAAAATTTTATAATATTTAATATAGTACACTTGCTGTGTTTATTCATCTCATGTACCTGTTTTAATTTTGTTGTCTTTTTATGTAAATAAAATAACTCAGGTGGTGGGTTATCTTGTGATTTTGGAGTCAAAGTAATTAATAAATGATTACCCAAAGGATCAAGAAACATCCCTGACATTTTCATGTTTAGTGCATATTTAGATATATCAATCTCTAAAATGAATATACATTGTTATAAGCTTATACACTATTAAAACACTATTCAAAATTTCTACCTTCTGGTGTATCTGGATGTTTCATATCAATGCGTAGGAGAATATTATTGGCCATAGCAATAACAATTATATTATTATTAACAACAAGATGTACAATTTCATCAGGTGGTAAAAAATTAACTTTCTTTTTTATAAAAATTGGCTCATCATCTTGTAATTTCATTTGGATAAATCCTGCTGTACTCTAAAAATGCAATAAAATATTCATCCTGTAATACTTATCCTTAATAGAAATGAAACAAGAATATAAGAACACAACATGTTTTCTTTAAATTTTTTATGAACTTGTTATAATATAGTCTTTCAAACTTGATCTATGTATAAAAGAACTTACAATATCGGGACGAATTGGTGGTGCTTGCATTTGTTTTGACCGTTGAGAGGCTTGTTCATATTGGTCAAACATTGATGTCATATTGTTGATTTATTTAAAACTGATCACTTTCCACAATAAGAAATAAATAAACTCTATGTATACTTTACAGTTTCCACACAAAGTAGGAATTTCAATATACTTTTACTTATACATTAAAGAAACTGTACAATAATTTTAATTGCATTTAATTTTTCATTCCATAGTAAACATGACTCATTAATGAACTTTTATCAATTGGAAACGTACACGAAAAGAAATTTTATACGAAATAAATAACCTTAATTTTTGCATGATACATTGTCAATATTATTTGAAACCAGAAATCACACATACATCATTAGCAATTTATAAAACATTGTTTCTATAGAGCTGTATAAATTTACAATACGCTCTTATATTATTAAATGAGTTGTCAATGGGGTGTAGAAAGATGGAACTAGTACTCGAGATTAAAGGGACTCTATATAAACATGGGCGTTCAGGACCGTGCAAGGACGTGCTTTATTCTGAAATGTGATTGGTTTGTGTTGACAAACGTCATTATATAGTTTTTCGACTTAACCTAACTTTACAGGAATCAGCAATAACAACATAGGAGGTACAACATTATTTTTATGTGATTACTAGCTTCGTCGTAATATTTTACTACGCTCATTCAACTTATGATAGAGTGAGTTTCTTTCATACACTTCATTCAATAAGAAATGGGACTCCAGTAACGTAGTCACAGACGGAAAATTTCAATAAAAAATAAATAAAGTCCTGAAAATTTGTATGTGTTACAAAAATATTATTATTGTACAAATACACGACGTAAAAATGTAAGAAACATATTATACGCGTATCATGTGTTATTCACAGCCACGTGGTTTTGTTTTGATCCACTTCAGCTTATGGACTTTTCATAATTTATATACGAAGTACGAGTCCATGTGTATTTAATTAATATAGTGCAAATAAAATCACATGACTGTCAAAGAATTTCATTGGTTTGTTTATTGCGAGTCTAGTCAGGAGAGTATTGTCAAATAGTGCTCCAAATAGAAAATTGCACTTCATCATAGACGAGGAATCTTTGTTCGCAACTATTTATATATTGAAGAATCTTGAGAGAAGTTTCATCATACGAAGTGTAATTGATAAAATAACAGACATCTTAATCAATGTTTAAAGCGGCAGCATTGATAAGGAAAAGTAAGTGACACCTCGTACAGTTTTACTGTCGTATGTTTATTTTGTTTTATTATTGTATTAAATGTCAAACATGTAGGTTATGTTTTGATTTATTATTTTAGTGAACAATACACCGAAATTCGATTATTACTATCAATACAATACAATAAAATAGTTAAGTAGAGCAATTTCGCATATAATCTAGTAGTATTATGATTTCACATCACTTATATTAGCATATATATTCGTATATAAATAATTGTATAATAAATTTTTAAAAACGTCACATTTTTCTTACTATTCCATTACATTATTATATTATTTTGGGATTATATAGTATTTAACTTTACAGACATAGGATGTATGCATCTGCCCTCAGTCAGCTATAGGAACACTTTTATTTCTTTACAAAATATGAGTACTGTAATACAAAATAATCCAATAGAACTTTCAATTAGGAAGAAGTTAACAGATTCTTTAAATCCATCTTATGTTGAAATAATTAATGAATCTTATATGCATAATGTTCCTAAAGGATCTGAAACACATTTCAAAGTAATTGTTGTGTCTGATGTGTTCAAAGATAAACCACTTCTCAAGGTAATAATCTGAATGTTCATTCATAAAATTCGTGAAGTAATTAGTGTAATAAAATTTTGAGATCATATTCATATTCACATAAATGAGTTTAAACCTTATATTTAAGTCACACAGAGCTATTCACATTTAGATCTTGATTTTTAATTTGATTTTGAACAAATTTGAGATTTCCATTTAATTAGAGTTTTATCTTGTCTCGTAATTCCGGAATTTCAATTTTCGAGACTTCGTGCAGTTTTATTCTTCTTACCCTAAATCCTGTGTACAGCAACAAATTTACACATTCACGTGTACATTCGCGCATACGCACAACTTACCGAAGTAGAAAGTTTCCTTAGCGGTTCTTCTTACGAGTATCAGATACTACGTAAATATTTAAAAAAACATAAGAAAATAAATATACACAAAATATTGATCGATTTTTCATGTGTGTTTGTTGTTTTTTAACAAGTGTACATATGGTGCTTCATAAGATTGCCTAGACCTCCCCTTTTGTTAATGGCTCTTCCATAGATAAATTCAATAAAATAGTATTTATTATATGTTAGTGTTTTTCGTTAAAAAAAATATGAAAGTTTATGTAAAATATGTAATTTCATTTATTTAGCGCCATCAAATAATAAATAAGTTATTGGAAGCAGAGTTAGAAGGTGGGGTGCATGCATTATCAATAGTAGTAAGTACCAGAAATATTTTCGAAGAGAGCCTAGGTTATAGTATAATATAGTCTAAAAATATATTTGTTGTACCATTTTCTTTGTTAAAGGCAAAAACAGCTGAGCAATGGGAAGACAACAGTAAAATAACTCCAAGTCCAGCTTGTAGGGGTGGTTTCGGAAAATAATTGCTTAAACTCTAATAGTGAAATTATGTTCATGCTCAAATAATGTGTAACACTCTAAATTAAATATATTCTTCAATATCAAATTGACGAATTCAAATTAATGTGTATTGTAAAAGATATTTAATCAAAATCGAATTAAAAATAAAAAAGAAATAAAAAGTACATTAATGTCATAAAGCAAAAGTATCCAGTCTTAACTTTCCCTCGTTTTCCGTGAAATAAAGCATATCGGCCATAGATTGTTCTGCGATCGCTTCTTCTGCTCTATCGTGCATCTGTAATGTATGTAACGTTTATAAGTATACTTGTACCTTTTAAATCGTTTACATTGTGTTTCCTTATTTTAACATCCTACATACCCCTCTAAAAGTGATATCAGTTGGAGGACATTTAAAATTCGGTCCAAAGTTTACAGAGACAGTAGCACTTTTATGAATGGATATTGTAGGATAATAGGCGCCTTTGTTGATATCGATAAATGCTTCCCCTTGATTTACACCATTTTTATAAAACGTAATTTTACTGCCGTCTAGAGGTTTTAGAGCCTTAAGTGCTTCAGGTACTTGATCCTTCTCCTCGTAATAAAGATGACTTTTGAACTTTACTAAAGGCTGATTTATAAATTTGTATTAGACTCTGAAGTAATAAAGTACAGTAAACATATATATCTTTCACTCACTCGATCTTTATATGTGTTTGGCAAATGGGAAGCATCGTGCGTATCGGGTAAAGTTATCACAAATCCCAAAGTATCACCTTCTCCATAACTGTTACTGTAATGTTTGCCTCTACTTTCATGAAACCGTGTCCCTTTTCTATTAACAAATATACGTGGTGATGTTTTTATATAAATACTTTTCAGTACTTACATTCCTATTAATGTATTTAATTATACCTAGATCTCCACGAATATCCAAATTTATCATAGCCAAGTGGAGCTTGTAAATTAGCATATTCTTGACCCCATCCTAGCCTAGTAGCAGAACCTTCAGGCATTTCTTCGATAGTTGCTTCCCAGTACCATGTTCCTCTACATACATCTAAAAATGTTAATATCAGTCATGTAGTATGTAGTGTATAAAACATAAAAATTTATTTCGATTCGATTCACGTTTATTGAAATAGAAGAAAAACATATAGCCGGATTATATTTCTGACATACTATGTGTAGCTCTGACCATGCAATAGCCTTTTTCGCCGGTAACTGCCAGTCTATCTTCGGAAACTCTGAGCTGTGGAGCTCGATCGTGTAGCGCCAGTAAAACTGTACTTGGACTTAAACCTCTGTACAACCATCCAGGAATAGGTTTTCCAGCCCAATCACTACTCTCATCAAATTCCTATACAATAATATCGACTCTAATAGTAGTATGATAAAGTATTGTACTTGATAAGATAAGATATGATAAATAAAAAAACCATTACTTAACATACTTGTCTAAATGGTGCATGAGGATCAGGTTCAGCAAGAATATATCTGTATCCATCTTTGTTAAAAGGATGTTCAAGAGGGTATCCATGAGCAGGTAGCTTAGGAGCTGCCATATCAGAACCTCTGCCTTTTTTACCAGGTCCTGTACCTGTTCCTTCTCCAGGAAACTTACGTTTTGCATTACGACCGCGAAGTCCTCCAAGTGGCACTAAATTTTCCATAATAGTACTTATTAAGCTAACCACGCAATTAGTTTCAAAACGTTATTATCGAAAATATGTATTAATGCAAGAGCAAAATGAAACAAATTCGTATCCAATTCTAATTGCAAAGATTTTTGTGTGTACTATACTAATAATTGTTTATAGCAATTACTATTTTAAGCCATGTTTTGATGTTGAATCTCACTACAATCTACTGAAAAGTACAGCTTATTTGTCTTATGGACATTGTGATCAAGCAGAATGAAGTATGATATCACTGTACTGATTAATATCCGGATAAGATAAGAGTCAACTGAAATAAAAGTAGCAAAATTGAGTCTAATGATAAAAGTAGATATATACAAGGTGGCACATAATTCATTGTACAACTGATAAGGAAATGATTTTTAAAAAATGCATCTATAATTTAATCCTGTTGGTGCTTTCAAAAATTAATGATAAGAGTTATAAATAATACAACAGTTTATTTATTTAATTAAGGGCCCCTAATAATTTGTATAAATTGTTAAAAATATTACATGAAAGATTATGTTCGATAAGTTAACAAGCCATGAATTAATTCTAATATAATTTTTTAATTATAAAAAATATTTATTGCTTTCTGTATTATCACATACTATTTATTAGATATGCAATCGAATTATACCATTCTAACAGATTGATAAAAAGTAAAAGGGAAGTAGGGAAAAGGGGTTTGTGGAGGTGCTTTATTTAAAATTATAGTTGAGTGCATGCATATTTCATGAACTTACAAACTCAAGTTTTTCAAAAATGTAATGACATAATTACATTTGATTCTCAATTATACTTACCAACATGTTGAACACCCATTTCGGTTACCTTTAAATGACCACCTTTAATCATGGCTTCATAATTTGGTTTAATCATTAGGAGATCAGAAGTCATAAGTCCAAACAATTGACCATCAGAACCAGTTTCTTCAATAGCAAATAATGTTCCAACATCTTTTAATAGTGCTCTATGTATCTGTATTTAAATATATTTTACATTTTTTTTTAAATAATATTGTAGTGGTTTTAGGGTAAGAAATACACTACACTATAAATATTGTTTGTTAAAAAAATATTAAAATTCACTTCATGGACTACAGTATACAATTCCACTTACAACAATATGTAACTTACATAGGGAATTTAAGAACAAATTAGTAGAATAGGTAGAAGATTTTATTTTGTATGATTAATAGATATTACTAATACAGGAAACATTACTTACAGTGGCATGCCAAGATTGAGTGACTCTCCGTGGCATTGTAGTCATACTATCCCAATGGCACTCAATGAAAGGAATAATGTCTTTATCCTTATGAAAAAGTGTTCTTTGTTCACTTTCTTTCTGAGCCATTTGCAACAGATTTGCTATTGCTGTCACACACATTTGTGGAAAAGCTAAAATGTCAAAGTCTTGTAATATGTAATCAACAAGTGAACAAGTTATGGATAGTAATCGTATTGCTATTAAAATATAGTCTTACGTGCTTGGTTTTTTTTGAAACTTTCTAAACCAGTGGGAGAACAATTTTTGCACATGAATATATAATTCATCATAAAAGGTACTAATTTACCCAATTGATATCCAATACAAGATTCATGAAACCATCTCGTACAGCTAGCACATAATAATTCTACAATATTTAGGTTTCTTTCCTTTCCACTAAAAAAATAGTGAAAGTTTATAACAATCTGTTGTATATTTTTGTGTATTACATGCTTAAATATTAATTTAAAGTGAATTACCAATAACAATTTCCAGTTTCATTGTTCCGACCATTAGATTTGTCAGTATTTTCTTCTGTTTTATGTTTCTGTTTACTTTTATCATCAGATTTTATTTTCATTTTATCTTCAATAGACTCAGATTGTGGCTCATCCATCTTATCGATTGGACTGTAAAAAAATATTTATATTTAATTGTACAGTTTATGAAACAAAATAATAGTACATAACCTCAAAACTGTTACATGCATCACTCGTTTACAAAATATTGTATCATTAATCGTATTGAAAATTTAGTGTTATTAGAGGAATTGTTTATAGATTAAATAATCATTGTAAAAATACCTTTCAAACTTCTCTTCTGACATGTCTAACTTAATAACTTCGTATTGTTTTCAATGTGTTGCTAGCTACCTAGACTTAACTTAGATGTTGTACTTATCGTCGTACAATAACAAATGTATGAAGTGTATGTATGTATATATGTATACAATCACACTTTTATTACCAAAATCACAGTGTAAATTAATGTTTAGAATGTTATTCATCATCCTGTATCAATAATACGCTACCATTAATTCAGAAATACGAGGATAAGCTAATCCCATAGTATTACACACAAAAGATAGGTTAACATTTCGTGTGTAATCGAAGCTGAATGAAATAGTTAATGTATGAATGAGTAATATGAGTTAATATGAATGAGTGGTTAAAAGTATACTCACCCTTTCACGGGATGATTTTCTTACATAGAATTAAGTTGGAAAAGAGAAATGTAATTAGGACACCACATGTGAATGCTAATAAGATTTATTACATTGCGCTTTATTAGTATTACATAGTAATAACACTTATGAAATACAACTATTAGCAAACTGAAAATATTAGTAATACTACACGACAATTTGTTTTAAAGAAGAAAACATTTTTCTGTCATGTTATTATTGAAGTGTAAGAGTATGTACCTTGTAGGATCACTAAAACGTTTTTTATGTAAATAAATTTGATATATCTACAAGAGTATATGTAAGGTAAGAATATATCGACAAATACAAATATTATTTATACAATTGATCTTGATTATTAAATTATGCTTTGCTCCAAATTATGTAAAAGTAATGGATTTCAGTATTTTTGTATCATCGGTAATTTTTACATTTACGAATAACAATTGCGATAAATTGTGAAAATTGTACGTATTTTATTGTAAATATTATGTATAATATTAAGTATGTCCATATTTAACGTGTCTTCTAAAAAAAACATAATATGTACAAAATTCAGTAATAAAAAATTGCAACACAGATCGTCTTTGTATAATTTAATCATTTATACTTAAGATTTAAACCTAAGGTCGAGCCATCTATTAAGTTGGTTTTCGTATTTGATAAAACCGAAACTAACACGCCGAGAATAGCTTCCGCCATAGCTCGAGTTTTAATAATTCAAAGTCGGATCGCGCACAATGCAATAAAAGCAAGAGGGAGTACAGGGGTGAGCACACTCGAATGATTTTGTAATCGCAATACATCTAAACCCCTAATATATGTATACGGTGCTTAGGATCACGTAACGAACAAATACAGACATTCCCTTGTATTTTGTATTCAATTCATGGAGAATATTAAATATTCTTGAAATTTGTCTTCGATGCGTCGTCGAATATTAATTGTATTATTTTATATTATGTATCTGATTAATAAAGAATACTTATATTCCATTTTACTGACGCATATACATCATTGTTCCAGGTTGTGCTTACGTGGGATTAATATGGTGCTTGCTCTTTAAATCTAATTTCAACGAATAAATAAATTTTCAAAAATACATTCAACCCATTCCAAAAATTTCTTAAAACTCGATAAATAATGAAATCGATACTTTTATGAGCGCAGACAAAACTGATATGGAACATATGAATTTTCGAATTTTATACGAATGAATAAATAAATAATTTGATACGTAAATTTATACAAAAATTGCAAACCCCCAAAGTATTTATAAACAACAAAACCTCTAAATTCATAAAGGAGCGATTAAAAATGTTCTAATAAATCATACAAAAAAATTACTTTTATCCTAAAGTAATCTATACAAAATTTAAAGAGCAAACACCCCACCAATATCATACCCACGACCGCACCGCACACTGAACCGCTCCAGAAGAAAATTTATTCGGGATCCGCATAAATTCATTACCCAGATTAAAACCGAATACCATCGAATGCCAAATGCCAACATATCCAACATTCACCGAGTGCGTTCAGCTTGCAGATATTCAAGCATTCCGTATTCGACTCTGAAGCCGAATAAAACGATTCGATACATGCACGCCTAGCGAAAGCAACACGCGAGCATCGAAGCTTTCGACCACGTACGCCATGAAAACTAATGAAGTATTCGTTACTCCGGGTACTCTTTCGGATACATTTCGCTCGAATACGTTTCTGGGTGGGGAATACCACGGGTCAGTGGTATTAATGTGATTTATGCGCGGCCATTTGTAGCCAGTTCGGTTGTCGAGTTCGGGAGATGCAGCAACAGGGGTTAGATGTGCTTTGGCGTAACCACGTCCGACGTGGCGGACTCTGGCGGTAAGCTTTCGCGACCGGTTCTCCGGAAGTGGTGGGAGATAGACCGTAGCAAGAGAGCGTGCGTCTACGTCAGGGAAAGCTCCGAGCTTATTGGTCCCGGTCCATTGTTGCGTATTGATTGCTGCGGAGCAGTGGTATGGTCGTCCGGACACTCGGTCGTTCTCATCGCCGTTGTCGTCGTCGCCGTCGTCGGTGGTACAGTCGAGTAGGTTAAGAAAGCGGGACACGCGTATAGATAGAGCAAAGTTCTACGTTTTGTCGTGATCGAAAGCGCGTTTCGTCGCGTACGGTTCATGATTCGCGTTTAATACAATATACGCACGTAAATACAAGTATATATACATAAATATATACATATAATGTGATATATGACGTGTGTGAGTTTATGTATGTGTGTGCGAATGTGTGGTGCGCGCGCGTGTATGTATTTATTTATTTATACATAAATATATATATATATACATATATACATACATATATATAAGTATATATATATATACATATATACATATATACATATATGTATATATTTATGTAGGAATGTATCTACGAATGGGTATGTATGTATGGCGGGCGTATATATGTATGTACGTATGTGTATATACGTGACCGCACGCGTATGTAAATGTAGTAGTGGTGTCAGTGGGTTGTTTTCTTGTTGTTTTCTATTTCCTCTCCTTTCGAGATTGGAACTACCTGCAGCATTAACGGCGGCGGCGGCACAAGCTGCCGCAGAGTGTGACGACACCGTGGTGATCCTCGAGCTACGGGCACCCTCGGCGACAAGGGCCACCTGGGAGAGTCTAGGAGCCTCCGCGATTCTCGATACAAAATATCACGGACGAACGAGAATCGTGGAATCGACGGAAGCATGCCCGGAGAAACTTGGAGCGAGGGGCCGCGCGAGCCGTGCCAGCCGATCGACGAGCAGAGATCATCGAGATCCCTGTGAATCCGAGGACAGTGGCGCGGAGGGACGAGAGATATATCAGTGAACTTCGTGTACGGAGAGCTGGTGCGATCGGTTCGAGATTGGGTTCGTGTGATATATTCGCCGGGACGAGTCAAAAAGAAAAAAAGAAACGAAAATCGAGCGGAAAGGACGACGGAAGGGGGTGAACGGAAGGAAAGCGCGAAAGGGAAAGAGTGAGCGTGTGATTGAGCTGAGCGAAAGGGAGGGAAAGGAGGAGAAAAAAAAAGAGAGTCAACCCCCCTGAAGGAAAAGTGGAGCGATAGAGATTGAACGACGACGGAACGGGGGTGACCAGGGGGGGGACACACAAAGGTGTTTGGGAGAAGAAGTAGTGTCACCGTCGGAGGAGGGAATTCGGGTAAGGAGGGCGAGGGTGGTGATTAGTGAGTGCGTACGGGACGGTGAAGCACAGGAAACGGTGGATAAAGGGGGCTCGGAAGAGGGAGAGGAGATCAGTTTGTGCGCGCAGACCGCGAAGAAAGCTCGTGGTCGGTTTGGCTGCAACGAGTCCGCGAGGCTTTGCGGAGTTGCAGCGCGCCGTGCGCCCCGTGGCAGCACGAAATTATGAAGCGCATAAAGTGTGCCCTGCTGGCCACCGTTTTTGATAGCCGCCGGTGAATGTGTGACCCGGGGGCAGCAGAGATCCGCCGTGATGACGACCGAAGAGACGACCGAGCAGCCCCCGGTAGACGACTGCCTAAAGGAGCGGAAATGGTGGTGCTTCCTGCTGTCGAGCATCTTCACCTTCCTCGCCGGGCTGCTGATCGTGCTCCTTTGGCGTGCGTTCGCCTTCCTCTGCTGTCGCAAGGAACCCGAGTTCGCTCCAAATGACCCGAAGCAGAAAGAGCAGAAGGCGAACCGCCAGGGCAAAGAGTTCGAGGGGACTTTTATGACCGAGGCCAAGGACTGGGCCGGTGAACTAATTTCCGGACAAACCACCACTGGACGTATCTTGGTAAGTTGATTATGACTATTACTCGTTATCAAACTGCGGATGTTTATGCAATTATGAGAAAGTGATCATTTGGGAGAACCGTATGAGGATTCGCGTAAATGTGAAAATGTAAATACGTATTAGACTGTTTAACAGATAACACGTACTTTTATTTAAATCTGAATTCGTTATCTGAATCTATAGAAATATAAATTTGCATTAACATCCGCACTTATTATATTCAAATCGAAGATCAGATGTGCTCGATAGATTCAGCATCCAATGGGGAAATGAATATCGTGGGCAATACTGTAAAATTCATCCAGTTTTCACGCAAACACATGCCACAGAGGGTGCATTTTGATACGATATTCCGACGTTTGCTTCTTCAGGGGTCAAATGACACACTGATAGTGGCGAAACGTCGGTTCTACGTATTCTCTGTTTCATTGAGTTCCAACACGAACATAGTACTTGTTCGATTGTAAGATCAAATGTTCGATACCAATGGTGCTTGAGAGACTCAGTATCCTCGATTAATAAATGTTTGTTAAATATACCCATGGAGAAACAAGCATGTATCCTTCCAAAAGGACACGTACGATAGAGGGAGTCAAATAGACTTCTAAATAAATTTTATTCATATTCTGGTCAGCTACTAACGTTTAAGAGGTTCAATCACGAAGAAATAGTCTCGTAAACGGATAACTCACTTACTCCTTCATTGCATATTTTATTCCGTTTGACTAAAGGGGTTGGATCCACGGGGATATTAATTTCACGGAGGAGTATCTAAATCCTATAAAATTCCCTTGGCAAACATACATGAATTGGCTTTATCGAGTCCCTACCGGGACTCATTACGCGTTAGAGGACTAATAACATCAACACGTTCTTGGAATATGCAAAGCCTTGGCGGATAATGTGCTCTTCGATTATTAGAGCACGGCTCTCTGTCGTAGTGTTTGTTTTATTTTAGCGTAGTACTTATTTGAGTGTGAGACCAAATGTTCGTAACCACTCCAAGAGCTTTAGCAAGAAGAAGTAGTTGTAAACAGATCACCATTTATTACGCAAGTTAACTTACAGGGAAAAGCTCTTTATACGGAAAAGCCCTTAAGAAAAACCACTATTATTCATTTTGTTTCTGGACGAAAAGATACCTGAAACCATCTTAGAACGTAGCAAAGAATACTTTTCTTCTGTTTTCGAAAAATAATTATTTTACTAGTTTCAAGAATAATTGTTTTACTTGTTTCCCCATGTTTCGCATAAGAAACTCGTTGGGCAGTAGAAATATTATTACTTTACAACTCTAGTCTTCCTCGTAGGCAAATTATGACTCCGCAAACTCAAGGAAGCCGTTAGCCGCCGAGTGAAATATTCACGTTTTTAAGAATTTATTTCTCGAAAACGCGAGAGAGGCGCCTTACCGTTTGCTACTTTCGGAGCTTGGGCGTTCTCCCCCTAAAAAGAAATAAATAAAAAACTAGGACCACAGTTCGCGGTTACCCCTTTTTGGCCCTCTGTTGCATGAATTTTATTTCACCTTCCTAAAGACCAAATGGAAATTATTTACTCGTTATTTATATATCCGTGATTTAAATGCTTCGAGTAAATAACGAGCGGCTGAACCTGCAGAGTTATTAAATGTACCTACGAGGAAATTGCGAAAATCCTGTAATATTTCCCCGGCGAACTTTACATGGATTGTTGTTAATGAGTTTCAAATCGGTCACGCAATTCGATGAAGTGCGGTGCATAATGCAGCCGAAGCTTCCATTATCTGTGTCGATAAAGAGGCAAGAATGTTCTCTTAAGTAATGAAATGAACGTTCACATTGATCGTTCTCGGGTAGAATGCAATAAACACCAGTAAAGAAAGTAAGAAGAACAAGTAATGGAAACGATTTTCTCATCAATGTTCAGTCTTCGAATTTTCTAATTTATGAATTCTTTCATCTGGCTTATTTTCTTAAATATAATTCTGTTATATTTCTCTTTTATATTCATCTTAGTAATAGAGCCAGATTAATTCTCAAATAATTTTGAAAATATCGAGTTCAGGAAATCGAAAGTTGAGAACATCTGATATGGTACAGATTGTACACAGAGAGTATCCTTCGGAGCGAGATGTGCTGACCTAATAAACTGTTGACGGTTCGTGTTGTGACACTTTTTTCTTTCGAATCTCTGTATCAGCCTTTGCCAAGTAACCGTTATATTTATTCGTATGGATTCTGCGTTGGCTTTTACTTTCTGTTTACCATCTTCTATTTGTTCGTTATGAGAACAGATTGAATAGCTGAGTCAGCCGATATTTTTGGATATCTTTTCCTTTCTTTCGCTGTAACGATTTTATTAATATTTCAGTGAATTATATATGTACGAATGAGAAATCAGAATCACGAGTACAAGATTGTTTGTAATAGTAATGGAATGAGCCTTCGGTTGTAGCCCTCAATCACGTGTATCAAAATAAACATGAAATGTACGGTTACGTGCGGATTTACGACGTAATGTCTCTCCCGGTAATTTCAGCAAACATTATTCGAAATGTTTTGAGATCGGGTCATCGTAATGGCACTGGAAAGAGGAAGAAATATCAATTCTGGAAGGAGTTGCGGACCGTACTGGGTCAGACGTTCAGTCAGCCTTTTTACCCGCTGCGACACGAAGCAAAAACGATTCGTGCTCACGATACATTCCCCTTAGCTCAGGACTGATATCTCTTTTTCATTATAGTACATTGTCTTGAGTTGCTGAATTTTTATTTTTATACTCGATAACCTCTATAACGCCTTGGAAAAATATGCAAGTTTATTAGAATAAAATATTGGTCATATTCGCTCCCAAGTACAGTGAAATGTTTCTCTGACGAGGTAATAAAAAGCAAAATTGGAAAAAGAAGCTTTTGTGTATAGAAGGTGAAAATTAGCCTCTTAGTTCTCATGATTTATAACAATATCATTATTTTCAGTAACAATTTACTTAAAATTTAGGTTTGAAATGATTGACAAGAGCTAGATAGAATTGCTATTATTTTCACACTTTTAATTATTCATATGTGCTACGTAACTATAATTCCATGTTAATTATTGTTGCATCAAATACTTTTCTAGCTTAAAATTTCAGTAACTTACCTTTTAAGACAGCCTTGAAAAATGACTCCAATTTAAAATATTGATGTATTTGTTAAATGCTACTAAAATATGTATTGTTTATATTAAACAAGCGTGAAATTTTGTTATTATGTCACCATAATTACGTTATGATAATTACGTTCATGATTAAGACCCGTGTCAGGGTTCCTTTTCTAAGCTGTGCCGTGAGGGCAAGCACATTAAAAATCTTGTAAAAGTGTGCCGTGAGCTTAAAAAGGTTAAGAACCTCTACTCTATACCTCCCTTCATAGTCTTTAACGTACATGCTTGGCACAGCAATTTATTGCACAGAATTTCTATTATGTGCTACATACAACTCTCGTACGCTTGTTCTGCAAGCTTTCATGTCGCCACGTCATCCTTCCAACTTCCAATCAACATTATCTTAAGTTATCTCGTCGGCCTACAACATTTAACGCTACACTTTTGTCTCTCAGAATTTCGCAAATATTACTTACCTCTTATTCTGTTTAAAGTTCTCGACGAACAGTTTTCTGAAACTACCATAAACTAAAAAAGGGACGAAGCTATATAATTCGTGTTTTCTTCACTTCTGTAATCCAGATTAATTTGTTTTTGTACTTTTGGATATGTGCAACAACTACAACCAACGGGTTTGAAATGTACAAATTACTTTTTCTTTGGCGTGTATTCATCGATAACAGTGTTTTGAAAAAGATTAATAGTTGGAGCCATTTTTCACAGCAATGATTGATTCTCATTTGTTTTCTGTTCATTCGAGTCGAGCGAATAATGTTTCAGCCCATTGAACATTGGAAACTAAGCATTTCACAGAAAATCCAATTACAGTAAACGTGTAAGACGAACTTTGTTCCTAATAATTTTTATTTATATCCTTTTATTATCTCTGCTACGTTATATGCTGTTATTTATATTCATAGTCTTTTCATTAAATGCATATTTCATTTCTTACTTTTTATAATTCGTTCGTTTCTCTGTTCCATCTCATTGTTAGCTTCATTTTCTCATTATGCGTTTGAAGGAAGATTGTGTTAATAGATTAATAATTTTATTATACATCGTTAGCTCCGGTGAATTTGTCGTTTGATTCAGTTATAAGAAATCATCCAAATTCACAAATGGAGAACGAGTCCTTTGGTACGAGTATCGTATAGTTTATGAAACAAATATAGTGAGGTACTTGAGACACACTCAAGAGGTTTGTTAAGCGATACCCTTACTTACTGGGAACAAGCAGCCAAATGTGTTTTTCCCTACTGAAAAGCTGTCTGTTGATCCGAGAGCCATATTCGATAGAGGATTAGAATCACCTTTGTTGTTTTTTATTGAAATTTTTTCTATCCATACTCTCAAAATAGAATATTTAAAAAATATGATACACCTTCAAACACTGATCGGTTTTGTTACGTAGCTTTGTTCGTAAAAAAATGAAGTTAAATAACAGAAATATTGGTATCACACATACTGAAATTGAAATTTATTTATCCGTGCGACATAATAAAAATGTATGTTTATTTACTAGAAGAACGTGGTCGCGTCTTTGAACTTACATACATTGTTCTAAAAATAAAGGAATATTTTTTGCTCTATTGGATATCAATCGATAAAGCGCTTCTCCGAAACGTATTTATTTACACTTTCTAGAGCGCATAATAAAATAATACAGATTAAAACGTTTCCTCTTTTTTGCATTTTATCTGGAAGGTCTATTTCAAAAACACGTCAAAATTCTATTTTGATACAAATGTACATTGTACTTTTGCCAAACATATTTACTCAGACTTTACGATAATAAAGTAATAAAATTCATCTTTTTTTCTATCCTACCAGAAATATTAATAAACTATCATATACTATGTATCCGTTAAAAATAGT